TAAATTAAAAAAAAAAAAAAGTTTCCAAGCTGCTCTTTCAGTGCATATTGTCACACATCCGAGAGCTACACATTGCCCTCAGTAAGAATCATGACTTCACTGCCTGCTTTAAACATAGCTAACCCTTCATTAAGAAAAAAAAAGTCAAAACAAAAAAGTCCAAAAAAGCCAAGGTATAACTGCAACATGGAAAGAGAAACTGCTCTACACATTGCAACATTTTCATTTTCTTTTTACCAGAAAAAGGGATGCTGGAAATCAATCATGTTTCCTTTTAGAGGAAGCCAGCCACTTGCATCACTTCAGGGACACAAATTTATGTAACAAGTCAGGCTATTCCAATCGCTCAGCCCCACAACTGACTGACTAACACAATCGCCACATCACAACTTCCTTTTCAGTTACAAGACACTAAAAAAGGATGGCCAACTTGTCTCAGGAGACCAAAGAAAAATGTCCTATTTCTCTTAAATGACCCACTGAACTTTTGGTAAATTCCTGTCTCTTGGCTAAATTCTGGATTATCCAATCTTCTGCCTGTGCATACGCCTCTATACTTCTCTTATATTTACCCAGCTTTGCTCGAGAAGAACATGTGAAGACTTTCCATGGCAGCGGTAAGAAGTTTATTACATGATGTGGGATTGGGAAACTTGCATTGCAAAATTCAAGTATCATCGATAGCATTCGATAATTTTTGCTAGACTAAAACAGCTAGTCTGATATTTCAGTATTTTCAGCCTTCATTCCTAACGTATCCGATTAGGAAAAGCAGGCTCTGTGTGTGGCATCAGGATTTCATGATCAGGGGACAGAATAAGAAACTTTAGGCCAGGACTGTATTTGCATTTCTGCCACTGATATGGTGGGCCCCTGCAACAAGTTTCCACAGCTATAGCATGGAAAGATTTACCCACCTCTAAGCAGTGACAGGTCTTCTGTAAGTGTAAAGAATCACAATCAAGTTGTCTCCCCACCCACAGGAGAAAAATGTTAGTTAACTGCCATGGATAGCAAATACTGCCAGAGTGTAAAGCAATTTAGGACTTCCACTCCACTGTGCAGTATATCCCACTGTATTTACACGCTGCTACAGAAGGAACTCTAGTTAAAAGAAAAAACCCCAGACACATTACTTTCATTTTCTCTCTATTCCTAGCCATTTCCCAGTCAAGGCAATTCCCTGCTGAATAACACTGGAAAGTCCTGCATGTTGATGAATGACTCCATGACTTAGCAAAATATAAATGTGCTCATTATAACTGTTTGTCTGTTAACACAAAACCCACAGTGGCAATGGGGTTAATGTTAACTATTTACAGCCAGTACTACTAGCTGTAAACAGTTATAGTATGACAAGGTAGGCAAAAATCTTGGCTGGGATGATCTAGTCAGGTATGGTCCTGCCTTTGAGCAGGTGGTTGGACTAGACGACCTCCTGAGGTCCCTTCCAACCCTAATTTTCTATGATTCTGTACTATAAAGCAGAACCCAGATCCAAAGGTAATTGTGTCCCACAGTGACTGTGGATTTTTAAGACAGCACACAATGATTTAAATCTAAGAGCCAAGAGGAACACACGTACGAGATGTTCCTACTAGAAACCAACAAAAGCAGGCACAAACATTCCCTCTTCGCATCTTAGTCTGCCGATGTGCCTAGCTCATCAGCAGTCTGATGATGGAATTTCCTTGTCTTCCATACTCCACTCATCTATCTGTTGTTGTTTCATACGCTCCTGCATGCACCGACAAGGGGATAAATTAAAGCATCTGTTCTCAATTGTTTACATGCCAGGACCCCATAATATTTCCTCCATTTGACAGTACAAGAAGGGTTAGTTTACTGTGATTCCCTACTTAAGAACCTTACAGAAGGAAAGACCCAAGATTACAATGTTTTACAATGTTGAAGAAAAGCAGGTAGGGGTCACCTGCCAAATAAGAGAGAAACCTTGGCAGCATAATATGAAACATTCCACATCCTAAAATTGACAAGCTCTACTATTCTAAGGTACCTCTCAAATAGCGTGTGTTGATACAGAATGGCTACTGTAGTTGATGGGGGGTTCAAGAAAGTGGGGGGGTTGTGGGGGGGGGGGGGGGGGGAGAGGAAACGCACCATACACATAGGAAACAAAGACTACCAGTTTGATTTGCACAATACAATCTGTGTTAGGACAGGTAAGTGCTACTTTTGCAGTTCTCACACATTTACAAATACAACTAATGTCTCAAGCTGTGCATGAGGGGGTATGCCCACTCATCACAGGAGTAACTGAGATACTGGGAAGCAGAGACACTAAGCAAAAGCACAGAAGCAGCCTCCAACAGATTCAGAAACAGGACACAGGAGACCAAACTTCCCACCTTGTTCCCCAATGACAAAGCTGTTCTCTCTCTCAGGCTACTATCTGGAAAGTCAGTCCAGGTACCTTGACAAGAACAAGGTGAGCTCCTAAACTAAGTTTTTACTTTCACACTGGATTTTGCTCATATCATACATAAAGCAGCATTAGATTCTGCTGACTCAGCCTGCAACCCACTATTTCATTTGGCTTTCCAGGTCACAGCACAGGTCTATCTGGTTTCACCACAGGAGGCTAATAAAGTTAGTACCTTCCCACCCCAAATCCCTCTCTTTAATGAGGGAGATGAGGCCGCACTGCTGCTCCTTTTACAAGCAAGCAAGCATTCAGTGAGCTGGGACTGACAGAGAAAAATTAAGCTAGAATTCTGTTTGATGTTGTTACACAGATTTTGTATAGCCCTACTTTCAAGCCTGTCTACTCCCTCAATTGTGTCAGAAAGTCAACAGACCACTTAAAAAGGACGCACCACTCCGTCATGGTGTCTGCGATCTTCGTACATTTTAATGTAAATTTTATCTTACATTCTATCTAAGAAAGGTTGCATAGCTCAAGAACGGTCACAAACAAGCTTTGCCAGGCCAGATCATGACCCTGAGATCCATGCATATTTAGACAAACACTTGAGAGCTTCCATTCATTACGCACGAGTAGTCACATTATCACTGGTGCCCACCTTACACATGATAGCATCAAGTGCCCCAGAAAGGGCTGTTAATATCACAGTACTACATTCAGCAATTTCCCAGAAGACAGGTCTGATAGAGTAGGGGGTGGCAATCCTCAGTGTGCCTGCCAGACTATAAGGCCATTTTGCTTGGCATGCCACAGCTGGCTCAGGCCCACAGCTGGGGCTGGATGTGTCAGACAGCTGGGAGGCTGCAACTAGTGCACCAGGGTCTGAAGCCCCAGCCTGGCAGGGGCTGCACACACGCCTCGAGGCACCCGGCAAAGGGGCCTGGGCATAACCCCAGCCCCTTCCCCTCCATGTACCCCAAAGCGCACGTACAGCTGCCACCACCACAGAGCCCAGGCTGCTCACAGCAGGCAGAGGGCAGGGTGTAAACAGCTGCATCAGGGTACAGAGCCTTGGCCTGGCTCTGTGGCCAGAGGCAGCTGCACACACGTCTCGGGGCACACAGCTGGGAGCAGTGCAGCCACGGCCCATTGCCCACTGTGCCCTGAAGCACATGTGCAGTCACTGCTGGCAGCGAGCCCGGCCAGGGCTCTGGACCCTGGTACAGCCACTTGCAGGCTCGCAGCTGCCTGCTGAGAGCAGCCTGGGCTCTGTGGTGGGTTGCCCAGAGCCTAGGCTGCTCAAAGCGGAAAGCCATGAGGCCACAAGCAGCTGCACCAGGGTCCAGAGCCATGGCCTTGTTTGTTGCTGGCAGCAGCTGCACACATGCCTCAGGGAGCACAGCAGAGAAGGGGCCAAGGCTGCACTACCACAACAAGGATCAGGCCCCTTGTGGCTCCCCCATTGTCTGACCTGGCACACCAACATCTTCCGAGTCCAGGTTGCAAGGGTTTTTAGTGCTCGCCCCAAAAACGTTGCCAACTCTTGTGATACAGCATTGCATGTACCTGAACTAAATGCATGGGGCTGGAATTTCAGGTAAAGGTTTTCTTCTCCTCAACTGAGGAAACACACTAGTGGTCCACTGAAGGCAGTCAATCACCTCCTGCTAAGATAACAGGCAAAGGTGACTGCAGGCTGCCTTTGAAACTGCCACGTGTGCACCCCTAAATGGAAAAAAAAACAAACAAAAAATTCTGCTGCTGGGTCTTTCTGCTCCCCCACTGCTCTCGATCCACACTTGATCCTTCCTGCCACAAGCCACTGAACCTTGAGAGACAGAGGCTTTCAAAGACTCCTTAGCAAGGGGGATTAGGCTCCGCTGCTGCTCCTCTTGCCAGGTTTCCTCCATGCACTGAACAACATGTTGGAACGCCCTCAGAAAGGGATCAAACAGGTTCCACGGACGGGTTCACTGTTGGTTGCACAATTCTGGAGATTATCCTGGCACTTCTTAAAGGCAAACTAGCTCTTCCCCCCCTGCAAGGGAAGCAGCAGCAAGATGACACAAGGTGGACTTTTGCCCAGGCAGCCGGCAGCACTCACCTGCTCCTACAACTTCCTCCTCCCTTTAAACCCCTGCGTCTTCCAGGCCCACTGCCACAGCCTGCACAACCCCAGGGTCCCCTAGTTCTGGGAATCCCAAGTCACCCAAGGGCGCCTGTAGCAATCCTCTCCTTGCTCTCTTCACCCTTCTGCCTGGCTTACTCATGCGTCAAGGGGCATGGGTTTTACACTAAGGGTTTGACACTGGCGGCACCTCCCTGGCATTTTTGTTTTAGCCAACAAACACAGAGCAAGGGGGTGACAGAGGAAGGAGACAGTCCCAGCCCTTGGCCACAAGGCAGGCGGAGGGGGCGGGAAGCCCTGGCAGTCCCGTGCCATACATGCTGCCTGCAGGCAGGAGAGCATCCGAAGCCAGCCCACGCTCCATGAGCCGAGGGAGGAAGCAGCGGGGCTGCATGATGGCAGCAGCAGCATCCCCATCCCCGAACAGGGCAGGGGCAGGAGCCCCTGCTCCCGCCGCCCCGGGCATGCAGCCCCCGGCCCCCTCACCTTCACCGAGTCCACGGGGTACATGACCGTGTGCTCCATGATCCCGGCCTCAGCCCCAGCCACCATGTGGGTGGAGGGGGAGACGCTGGTGGGCAGGCTCTCGTAGTCCTCCCCGCAGCCCTGGCCTTCCATGGCCAGCCCCGGCCCGGCCCCCACGGCCGCCTGGCCCCCGCCGCTGCCCGCCACGCTGCAGCGCAGCTCCATCCGCACGCGCAAGGGCAAGGGCAAGGGCCGGGTGGGAGGGAGCCGCGGCGATGGGGAGGGCGGGAGAAAGTTCACTACTTAAAGTGACACCCTGCCAGCCACGCCCCCGGCTCCCTCTTCCAATGGCAGCCGCCGATTGGCCCAGGCCGTCCCCGCCCATTGTGGCGTCACGCGCGCAATGTTGCACTGTCCCGGCCCGGTGACGTCAAGGTTCCCAAGCAGAGCTCCAGGAGGAGGGGAGGTGTCTCTGCTGTTGGCAGGGGTTGCCCTGGGGCAGGAGCAGGAGGCATCGGTGGGCAAGAGCTCTGCATGAGATGTGAAGGCAGGGCCAGGGTTTCCCTAGGCAAGAGATGCCCCTTGTCAGAGACCCTGGAATGGAAGTCTGGGCCTGGCCCTTCTCAACAAAGACATGAAATTGCCCCTAAAAGTGTCTCTGGGCGCGTCTACACGAGGCTAACTGCACAGTAGCGCATGGGGCAAAAGCCATGCTAATACGCTACTGCGCAGTAGTATTAGGCCACTGTGCACTAAGCATCGCTAAAAAGCCACTGTACTGCCCAGTAGCACAAGTTACTGCGCGTTGATTTTAGTGGTTGGTTAACCAAGTACTAAACTTAATGCGCGTCAATGAATAGGTACACATACCCTCCTTTCCATGGAGAACACCAGCCTTTTATCCACCCACCTCCCATAGGTCCTACCAGTTCTCAGTTTCCACCTGGCACTCAAAATATTTATGGCTTTCAGGCCAAATGTTTGGGGCTTCTGCAGAGAGTCACAATATTGACATTTTCCAAGGAAAAACAAAAATAATTTTGGCAAAACTTTCCTTAGGGAAAACACCAACACATCCACATTTCTGACCTTGCGTGAGGTTTTCAGTGCACTGAATGGGCCTGACTGCCAGTTTTTCATGTGAGATTTGAAGCCACTTGGTAGGCAGATCTCAATTCCAAATGTGCATGTAGGTCATTTAAGGATACAAGCAGAGAGACACCTTTAACAAACTGGAATGCATTGGCTTAGCAGAGGTTACTGACAGGCAGAAGGTCCACTGCTGTTGAGTGAAGAAGAGAATGAGGCTTTGGAAAGTCTTTTGGGTAAAGTCCAGGACTGGGAGTTTGGAGATGGAGGTTTCTTTACCAAGTCTGCCTTAGTCTATGTGTGCAGCCACATCCCCTCTGTGTGCTCCAGTTTCCCTAGCTGGAAATAGGACCCATTTCATAAAGATGCTGCAAGGATTCATTCCTCAAAGGCAACACCACAAGCTTCCACTGGGGCTGTGCATCCCTGAACCCGCTCCACGTGTTGGGGCCCTGATCATGCCCTGTCTTGCATCTCACTCCACACACCTGTGCAGGGGGAGCGGAGAGCAATACCTGTGTATTTGACAATACTTTGGACAGGCAAACATAAGACAGAAGTCACGAGAGGATCAGATGCTCAAAAAACCTAAAAATGCACTGGGAGAGACACACCAGCTACTGATCTCTTCATCCTAACCCATGAAAAATTCCACTGCTTGAAAGAAGACCTCTTGACAGAGAGCAAAAAGTGGAGATAATGCCAAAGAAATACACTGGGGAATGACAGGTGTGTAGAAATACAAAAGGGGAATCACATAAATAGTTTGCTAAAAAAAGGGGGGGGCTCTTGGGAGGAAAAAGGGACACTGTGCCAAGTTCTCTGCTGCTGTCTATGGGAGCAGTGCCTTCAAATTTGCCTGCTGGTACCATAGAATTTGCCCCTCTGTAATCTGGGTTTTTACAAGCTTCCTCAATAGCTTGTTGGGACCATTTATATCATTAAATCATATGCAATCTGCTCCTCTTTAGTTATTCCTTGCAATCCAGGAACTGAAATACCCAACATCATCACAAATCACATTATGTGACTAACTGGCTCCTTAAGCAACATGCAGAGGGGGGAAGCAAATATAAAGATCAATAAACAAACACAAGGACAAATACAGAGCTAGATGGCTTAGCAGTAGGGCACAGATTTCCTAATAATTCACACTGAAATCCTTGGATAACTATCGGCAGTTCATCCAAATTCTGTGTGCAAGGACAGGAAGGTGGCCCACACCATTTTGATAAGAATAAGGCCTTAATTTCCCCTGGCAGCATGCCAGTCACTTGTCAAACTCTATCTCAGAGGTGCCTGCATCTCAGCTGTGTTGCCATGTATGAATTATTTGTGGAGAACCTTAGGACTATGGCTTTCTTGGACCTAACAAACACAGTGTTTTGTGTATATCAAAACCACTTGAGGGGCCAATAAGGCAGTCCTGACTTTACAAAAAAAACCCCATTGTTCTTCATGGGTGTTTTCTTGATTCAGGGTTGAATAGGGGCATGACGTTTAGCCCATGTTAAAATGGTTTTCTTTGTATTCCAGGCAAAAGTCACGCAGAGCACAGCTACCACAGGTAGTCATTTTACTAGTTAAACCTCCCTAACAGCTAGCTGAGGTAACTAAGATGTTCAGGTCTTTTGCACCAAGATGAATGTTACCTTGTAACTAGAGGTTATTCATAATCAAGAACTGTGATTATTGTATTGCAGGCTATTGAGATCTTTTGTGCCTTTCCTTCCACTTGGCTGCAGGGTGTCTAGTCAACTTCATTACCATGAAGGGACTCCTTTTTACTGTACCTCACCAAAACTTGAACAAGGGGTTGTGTATGGACTATGAATTGTGAAGCACAGGAACAAATATCCCATCACTGGGCGTGAGTGTGATCTCTCTTGCTTGTCTATAAAGCAAGAATAGCATTTGATTTACTGTGGGTTCAACCTGGATACAGGAGAAGGCAATTCACTCCTTTAATTTCAGCAGCACTTTTTCACACAAACTGGTATTATATAACCCCCAAAGCATACCCTCCTCCAGTTATATTTTTCCTTTCTCTCCTTCCACCCATGCTTTCTTTATTGCTTCTTCTCCCCACCATCTCTCTCCCGTTCTTCTTCTCTTGCCAATCCATTCTCACTCTCCTTTCCAACCCCAATCCTCCACCCTTTCATTCTCTGCCTAGCAGTTGAGGAAAGACAGTTCTGTACCACTAAGCCATTTCCCTCCTCTCCCTATTCAGCTTTGTAGCCTTGTACACAATTTTGTTCAGAAAAAAATGGGAAATCATAAAGAATCAGAAAATCAGGATGATTGCTTGCACCACAAAAGTGGTTGGTGGCAACAACATACTAGGTGCTGTACATCTATTGCAGACCTCACAACATAGTGAGGGACAGACAGTTCCTGCCCCAAAGATTTATATACTGAAAAGGGAAAGGAAGGGAAAGCAGAGACCTCGAGACTTGACAATACTCATGCTTCATGTAGAGCACAATATGAAACTCCAGCCTCTGGGTTCCCATTCCAGTGCCCTAATTCCTTAGGCCACGCACAGATGAGCTGCTCATTTTGGACTGTGTGGATGAACAGAGAAAACTGCATAACTTCAGAAAAGTTGTAAGGTTTCCATCCAGAGCAGGAGAGCCATTTTATAGACTTCAGGAGAGGATACCAATTATCTGCAAGGTTCCTGAACACGGAAGCAAGAAGTACAATACAAAATATACTTCCCCACTTTCTGGGCTCAGTGAGGAAACTCAGCATGATTTGCCAATTTGCTGCGAAACTTAGGCAAAGCCCTTACGCTTGAGAAGTTACTTATGACGTCATTTGGAAAATTGTAATGTCCTTCCTAAGTATGGTCTTTCCCCTTTTTCTCCAGTGCCTCCTTTTCTCACTACATCTGGTGTGAACATAACTCCTATAAATGTGACTCATCAATCCCTATTTTATAGATGTAAACTACAGCTCTGCCGATTAGAACAGTATCAGGCATTGTGTATTCACATACAGACACCCTGAATAATTCAGTTTTCCTGTGCATATTCATAAAGTCCCTTTGTACTACCATGAAATCAGCCCAGATCAACTGAGGCCTCTTGGCTGATAGGCCTTTGCTATATTCTTCTGAAGGCAGAACATTCCAGGTACGTAGTTCTCAAGCAGGGAGCATATTGGCATATCATTTTTATCTAGCACTTATTTGACTCTAAAACCTGGGTGATTTCCTTAAGGCAGTGGTGAGGTGGTGCAAGGGAGAAAGGCTTTCCATGTAGAGTGTTTTGACCAGAGTAATTTCATGTCTTGTTTTATGCCAGGTAGTGAGATGAAGGCTTAAAATCAATCAGGAAAATATAAAACACGATGACATGCCTAGAAAGTAATTTACAATATTCTTCAGCCTTAGAGACTGGATTAAAAAAAACCCATTGTGAAACACTCTTCTGAAGATATAAACATGCAGTAAAGAAAAAGGAGTGGCTTTCATGCTAACTAAAGTGAAGAAGTCCAACATTTTCCATAGTGGCTTTGGAAACAATAACACTTTCCACAGTGGCATGGGTACTCCATGCCAATTCAGACTGAGCCATGATCTCTCCTGACAGACACTCCAAAATATTAGGTACAAACAACTGGTATCCATGTTAAAAACCTTGAACCTAAATCAAGCCCTGTGCAAAAATATATGTGATTTTATTTGAAAGAATTAACCTGGAAACTAGGTAGCTAGTTCTGGGTATTTTGCTATCACATTCAAGGGAGGTTACATCACATGAAGAGTCACAGTGTTTTGTAGACTGCCAGCCAACGAACTACCACAGAAGGGAATGTCTTTTCTTACACAAAACCGGGTTTGCCCAGTGTTGCAAAAAACTCACAGGCAGACCCACAAATACACGTATCACCCCTTCCCCACTTCGGAGTTAATCACTTTGGCTTGAGTTGAAAAACAGCCTTTGTGGTTAGAGCGTAAGCTACCTGTGGCAGGGACTGGCTTTTCTGTTCTGTGTTTGTACAGCATCTACCATACAAGAGTCCTGGCCCATACCTGGGATCTTTGGTTTTACTGGAATAAAATAATAACAATCACAATGTAACATCTGCCACATATGCAGTTCACCAGTGAAAACAAACTTAAGTTG